CAGCCTGACCACTGCCACCACGCCGTGCACCTCATCAATGAGCTGGTTCAAACTGCCCAGGTACGGAATGTGCGCCACTTTGTTGGCAAAATTCATTAACTCCTGGCGGGGGGCTGCATTTAATGTTTTTCATTTGCTCGTTTTGTATTCGTGGTCTCAATGTTTTTCATACAGATTTGCTACAATTTGACTTGGCTACTGAGTTAGCGTCGTTCAGTGCCAGACTGCGCGTTGCTGACGTCACCACCGCTGAATGAAAGGAGCTCGGCTGTAAACTAAGGACCTTCTGTTTTGCTTTTCAGCTCCTCACGAGTTCTGGCTTTTTTTTCCCAACAGGAGCGAGATGGCTTTGGGGGGGTGATGGGACGCCGCAGCCGAAGTGACTGTAACATGGGCAGCGGTCTCGGAGGGCTACAGGAAGTGACGTACGCCGTGCCCGCCGACAAGTGCGGCCTGGTGATTGGCAAAGGTAAAAAAAAAAAAAAAAAAAGTTTAAAGATGTTTCAAGTCCCTATTTTGACAGTCGTGTGAGTGTGATAAGTTCTTTGTATGAGCACCGTTCATCTGCGCGTCGTGAGTCTCTCCAACTCAACAGATTGCCTCACCCCCGCTCACCAACCTTTGAATAAATGAGTGCCGCTCTGCCCTTGAGTGAAACTGGGTCGGGGGCGTCCCCCCCCCCCCCCCCCCCCGCCTCATGTATATAGCACAAGTGGCATTCATTGGCTTCACTAAGGGCTTAATGATGGGGATAATGCGTGTAATGTGACATTAATTGTTAAAGGTGCATAATAACAGCCCTCAATCATGTGGAAGGCCGCTTGGTATCTAATGAGCTGCTTTCAGCCCGATAGAGTGCGGCGAGGGAATGAATAGGAGGAATTAGCTTATTGGCTATTCATGCCCACTCTATTGCCAGCCATTTAAAAGTCATTGACCATTGCATTGGTAGAACGTGTGTGTGTGCGCTTGCACGCGAATTGCACTTGCTGTGTGTGTATGCCGTGGTTGAAAGGGTGGGGTTGGGGTTTGCGGCGGGGGGGATCTCTTTACCAAAAATAAAAACATGGCAATAGAAATGTCAAGTGGCTTTTGTGCATGTAGCGGGCCAAGGGAAACAAATAAACCTGGGCGTTGCGTTTCCCCCCCACTCTGGTCATTAGCATATGAAGTGGGTCAATATGGTCGAGATGGCGGTGGGTCTGGGTGCTGTCAGCCGACGCTTAAAGGTTGCGGTGATTAATATCTTTACGATGCCATATGTAGCCCGTTGGCCCCTGCTTATGACCCCCCCCCCCCCCACACACACACACACACACACACGCGCACACTCTCTCACTCACGCGCACACACACACACAGTCTCTCGCCGCTGCTTGATGGATCTAGCCACCCACCAACCTGCTCCCACATTAAAACAGGCTTAAATTCATTGCCGTTTTCCACCCCAAATACCCAGATTGAATGCTCCCTTCTGTTTCATTTCCCTCTAAACACACAAGTGTCATCTGTAAAGCTAACAAGTGGCCACGCAAGCTTGGAAAAGTCTGACAGCGGCTGATTTTGACTTACAATCACAGGGAGACGTAACATTTATGAGTCAAATGGGCACTAGCGTGGCCAAATGGCAAAAGGCTCCATAGTTCAATCAGTCACTCATGTAAACATTTTCAATTGGGACAAGCCCCCCCCCCCCATTTAAAGATTTTAAAACAAAGAATAGGATCTTAAAAAGAACTCTTAAAATGTGTAGAGAGATGCCGGAGTAGGAATGATGTGCTCCCTCTTATGAGTACCAGTCAAGAGGTGAGCAGCAGTATGCAATGACTGAGCAGTAGATTTTTAATGTATGTTAATTTTTTAAAATCATGAACTGGGGAACCGTGCTTGGAGAAAAAAAATCTTGCAAAGAATGACGTTTCAAACAAAAAAATAGACCGCCTTTCCAATTATTCGTTGCTCAGATCTGACATTCAATCCTATTCCTCCATTCATTCCATGGCGATCCCCAAGTGTGTCCCTTAGCCCAGTTTTAGCCACAAACAGAAAATCAGCAAAACTCGAATGCTGAAAAACAATTTAATGCAATATCGTTACAGTGGGTATGATGTAAACTCAGTCTTTGCACCTTCTATCATCAAACGTGGTAATTTATTTAAAAAAGAAAATCTCTGAATTCCCTTTCCAGGGTCTTTAAGAACAACTTAGCAGCCTAACTAACCAGACCCTCTCTGAATGCCGTCACCAGTTGCACTTTTGTGCGCCCGCCTTTCTTGCGGCGCACTAAACCAGTCTCATTAATAAGACCCGTATTATCTGCGCTGACTCCAGGCCAGTCCATGAAATGAATAGTCGGCCTCTTCATCGCTCTCGGCCGTCCGACCGCTCGAGCTCATAATGGCTTCATTAAGGCAGAAGTTTCATTTGCTTGACAATGCCTTAATGGCCCATGCGCAGTCTGTTGGCGTTTGCAGAAAAAGGCTCCGGGAGGAGGAGAGCTTTTTTGATGAGCGTTTTCACGCGGGGGTCAGCCCGGGTCATCCGAGTGTCAGCCACAAGTGAACAAATGTATAATTGATGTCGGGACGGCCCCGGTGTCCCCCCTCCCACCACCCGGGAAGCACCCTCAGCCATTTTCCCCCCTCGCATCGGGTTCAGATCTGTAGCGCAAAGAGGGCTGGTGGCAGTTGTTTGCCACCCCCCCACCACCACCACTTCATTCACTCCCCGCTCTTATCACAGAGGACAACACCAAGTCAAAAAAAAGAAAAGGCCGAAAAGAGACAAACGATATCCCAGGAGGAGGATACGCTTCAATTTTGGCCCCTTTCTCCTGCTGGCTATGTTGCATTTCTCCCTGCTGGTGTAATTGCTCTCCCCACACGTTGGGAAGCTGGCATCTGATGCCGAGGAGGAGGCGGGGGGGTGGGGCGAGAGATGTCCCTCTTTTGTTTCCCGATTTGCACGGATGTTAGCAGAGAATGGTCGGAAAGTGGCGAGGCGCACGCCAGTCGTCGTAAGGTAGCGTCGCCGCGCGCATCCTTCTGTCATGTGACCCGACATGATGCCAGAGACGCCGCGCAAACGTCTCTTCTCGCGTGGCGCTTTACAAAGGATGGATTTGCACTGCCAGTCAGTGCCTAATTCCTATTTAAATGCCCATATGTTTCTTTTTGTTTGTTTTTTAAAACACACCCTTTCCTTGTACATTTCAACTGACATTTTGTATATCTGATGGCTGTTTACATTCACAGTGCGCACGAAACAACCCACACGCGCTCCCTCGATGGTCTTATCAGATACGTATTCAATTTTAATCTTATAATAGGAGGAGTCCCAATTCTGATCTGAAGCTATCTGATCACATTTTTTCCCCCTTGACATTGGTAAGATATGCATATCAATCAGTTGTGACACTGAAGAGCAAAAAAAAAATATATCAATCCAGCCTAAGTTTCTGTGCCACTTTCAAAGTGTTTTCCACCCCAAAATAGAAATTGTATGATTTGTGGTGTCCACTGTTGTTCTTACATTATGTTAGCTTTCTTGGCTAACTCCAATGTATATGATATTGCCATGACGTCTGCGCCAATTTAACGCCACACACTAATCCCGCCATTGCGCAACATTTACCTCGACCATGTATCTGATGGTATCTCCGAAGGCGATCAACGGTCATTGTGAAAGATACCACGGAGAGATGTTGAGTTGTCTGTTGCTTTTCGCAGGCGGCGAGACCATCAAGAATATCAAAGAGCAGTCTCGCGCCCACGTGGAGCTGCAGAGAAACCCGCCGCCCAACACTGACCCCACCTTGCGCATCTTTTCCATCCGAGGCACCCCGCAGCAGCTGGAAAAGGCTCGGCAGCTGATCGACGAGAGAATTGGGGTAGGTGGTCTTGTCTATTGTGCCCCCCCCCCATCCCCGCTTATATTCATGAGCGCACATGTTGCCACCGTGTGGGTTGGGGAGGGGTGGGCGGGTGGTCACAGGGATGACACCAGAGGTTACACATCAAGAATCCATCAAATGGACTTAATGGAGTGCATCAGTGCTCGGCCGTGCCCTTTGACCTTGTCTGTTGGCTTCCTTTTTCAACACGAGTGTGGTCTCACTCTCTCGGCTGCAGGCTCCCGGGCTGGGAGGAAACGGCAGCTTCGGCTTGAATCCCTACAACCAAGGAGCCGCCACTCCTCCTCAGCAGTAAAGTCCAAATTTTTTTTTTCTTCTTCTCTCTTCAACAGCAGTGTCGGCTCATAAACGTGCACTTAACTCAGCTCATCTTCTCTTAGCGGGCCTCAAACGTTCATGACTGGAGGATGGGGGACAACTTTCCAGATCTGGCAGCCTCCTGGCCAACAGGACCATAGTGAGTCACAGCAGTGCTTCGTGTCGTGACAAGGTCAAAATTCTGTCTCGGGTCTTTCCGATACTCTCAAAAACCTAAAACAAACAGTGGCATCACAGATGGCTAAACGGAGAAGCCATTTCAAAACCGGTACTCACAAAACATGGTACCGTTTTGGGCGTGGCATGAGATCATCGGTCGTGCTGCGGGAAACTGTCCAGTTTCACTTAACTGGTCCAAATATCTCCGACAAAAATCTACTTCAAGTCAAGTTTCTTCATCTATCTGTGACCGCCACCACCTCCTCCTCCTAAAAAATAAAGAGGTTGGGCCACAGACTTAGACCGCCAGGCTCCGATCATGTGACCACATGCAAGTCACACGTTTTGGAACAAAATTGTCGGATCTGAAAATGATGGGAAAGGAAAAGAGTATTTATTGCAACGCAGGCTTTGAGACATGATGATGATGATGGCGGTAACCACCTCTTTCCTGTGCAGACGCGCGTTGAATGAAACCTCCATGGAAATGATCAGGAAAGAAGAGAATTGCACACGAGGAGCTGACGACGTTATCTGTCTGCTTTCAGGTCACAATGGATCCCAGACGGGCCAGATGGACTGGGAGCAGTATTACAAAAAGCTTGGCAAGCGCACTAACTTTTTTTTTTTCTTTTCTAACACGCACTCTGCCGTCCACGCTGTACATAATCAAAGTTCAAACGCACCCCTTCCATGATGGTGGTCCAAATTCAATTTGGTTGTTTCGCAAAACAAAAAATTGTCGCCAACATGCTCAGCCCAACTTTGCGTCGATTATTTTTTTTAACGTTTTTTTTTTTTTGAAAAAGTGTATTCTTTTTATGAGTTGCTCCATGTAGATTTGGTACCTATCGGTATAATTACAACAACAAAATTCCAAACGCTCATTCAAATTGCAACTCCAATTCATGTCAGCTATTCCTAGTCAGGACTCACAAAGATATGTGATATCTGGCCCCCAGGCTGTACTTTGCCAATCCTCCTGTTATGTTGCATGTCAGCTATTCCTAGTCAGGACTCACAAAGATAGATAAGTGGGGATTATAATATTAAAGTGATTCATATTTGTATTTTTATTTTGACTTCATGGTCACTGTGAGGGCCAGTCAGTGACTTGGTGGGCCGTATCTGGCCCCTAGGCCGTACTTTGCCAATCCTCCTGTTATGTTGCGGGTCAAATTGTCCCATTTAGAAAATCTAGGGAAAAAAATCTGAATTAAAATTAACATAATAGGAAACTCTCAAACCGCCACATACATTCATCGTGTTTTTTCTCGAGCAGAACGGGTGCGAAAAATCACTCCTTTACATCACACCCGGCAGCACAGCATCTTTGCTCAGGATAATCGCCAAGAGGCGTCCTTCAACTGGGCGGTTTGAAAGATCGTTTTTTTGTCCTTTGCAGGTCAGCAAAGCCAGCAAGCTCAGAGCGCCCCTCCCGAATACAACAAAGCCTGGGGTCAGTTCACTGAGCAGAGAGAACACACACACACTCACACACACCCTCGTCTCCATTTTGTTTGCGCATCTGTATTTTTATTTATTTATTTCTGTGATGATTTGCCAGGACAAAGTTCGACTCCTGGCTCTCAGCAGGCTTCCAATCCAGACTTCAACGCCTGGGTGGACTTCTACAGGCAGCCCATGGCCTACTTCAACCAGGGCGCCCAGCAGACTCAAGCGCCGGGCCTTCATGTGAGACACACTATGTCTTCTATCTTTGATAAATATTCAGTAGAAAGAGTCGTAAATCTCTCCGAAATTCCCTTGTCGCGATGACACCGCTCGGCACGCGCTTGAAACACCCGTCCCAGAATATTTAAGAAATGCTGCTACACGCTAGCCAGCCAATCATGCATTGAATTAACTGCACTCAGTTGGTGAGGTCCACTGTAAGGTCCCCCCCCACCCCCCACCCCAAAAAAAAACCAAAAAAACTTGCAGCATAGCAACAACTTGTTGCTAAGCCCGCCAAAAATATTTTTTTGTGAAAGGTTATTCCCACTTCCCTTGTTGTCATTGGACGCAACCATATGCAGCACAATCGACCGCCATCTTTGTTTTGGGGGGTTTCCTGACTTTAGACACACATAGCATAATGATTGATCTCGCATTGGGAAGCCGAGAGGATTCTTTTTTTTTTTTTGGGGATTTGCCAAAACCACTGTGGCTAATTTTTGCTCTGTGGCTAATTTTTGCACACACTCAACACAAATACTACAGTACATCGAGTAATTAACCAGTTTTAATTTGTGCAAGTGCTATTTTTAAAAAAAATCGATTGATTAGATTTCAGTGTTAAAAAATCCATTGTGATATATCTATTTGTACAAAAAATATTTGAAATATTTTTTCAGATTAAAAATGTAATAAATGAGCAGCACTTGAGTTGTAAACGGTTTTAAAATCTGTATGAGGATTCTTCCTATTTTCTGCTTATCTGTGTGTTTGTGTGTGTGTGCGTGTGTGTTTGTGTGTGTGTGTGTTCCTCAGGATCACTAGAGAAGGTCTCAGGTCTTGTAGAGAATGAAGACGGCCCTTTTTTTCCCTTTATCATTTTTTGTTTGTTTTTTGGGGGGGTGTTTGTTTCTTAATTTTGTTTTGGTTTTTTTTTTTTAGACTCGCAGCGCCTTGAAGACTTTTCTTAGTGGGAAACACTAGCAGTAGAATGGTATTATGATGAAATATATTTGTAATCAGCAGAACCTTTATTTGTTACTAAATGCTTGTGTACACTGTTATTTTGACTAGAGCGTGTTATCTGGGATCCGGTATTTTTGTTTTTGGCCAAAATGAAAAGCGCGTGTGTAACATTTCAAAGAGGCAATACGTATATACGAATCTGTTCCGTTTCTTGCGGCTCCCATGTTGATTCCGCTTATCAGTCTTGAATACCTTTTTTTTTTTTTTTTTTTTAAGTGTGTGTTTGTTTTGTCAAAGAGCATCTTGCGATGATTATTTTTACATAATTCAGTGAAATGAAACTGTGATGTTTTGTTACAGCAGAATGTGTTTTTTTTTTATTTGTTACATGGTTTAAAGCGAAGAAGAAAATAAGCAATAGTTCTAATTTAATTGTGCATTGTCATGCTGTTTATTCATTCATTGTCATTTTATTGTACTCAAATCTCACACGCGTACACACACACAAGGGGGGGAGGTGCAATATCTTATTTCATGTTTGATATACAAAGATGGCTTCTCGAATATTTTGACCGACTTTTAACTTGTAGTTTTATGATGTTTTCTTTTTTTCTCTCTCTCTGGAGGATAATTTATTACATGAACCTGATTATATAAGACTTAGAAGGATGTTTGCCTTTGCTACCTTGTACAAGTGTGTATGTATATATATATATAGATATATATCTATATATAGATATGCTCATGTATTTGCTTGTTAATTTAAAAAAAATGTTTCATTTAGAATGATCTTTCCTGCCACCAGTATTGTAGGAAAACTGTCCCTCTTTTTTTTTTTTTTTTTCGGTTCTTATTTTCTTATACTGCTCCAAGATTGTGAATGTGATTGAAATTGGATGTTGCATCTTATGAAGAAGAAAAAAATATTGGGTTGTTTTTTGTTGTTGTTGGGGTTTTTTTTTTGGGGAGGGATGCTTGTTCTGTGCGAGTGTTCAAGACTGCTAAGCCTCTGTTTCCTTCTACCTGTGCGATTGATTGGTTTTTGTTATGTTTTAAGAAGTGTTATGATCAAAAAAAAACACGTTCTCCTTCGGTACCTCCTGCTTCTGTCCGATGCTAATAACTTTTTAATTATTATTTTTTTAAATTTCTTTGTTGTGTGATCTAATATAACAATCTCGACGACGAGATGTCATCATGGAGAAGCGATTCTTGTATTAACGTCATTTCTTAATGAAAAGGGATATATATATAATTTGGAGAGGAAAAACATGTCTAATTATGGTGGGTTTACTTTTGGTGTACAGTTAACCATGTATTAAAAAAAAAATCCAGACTACCTTCATTGTGTATTGTTATACAAGCTGTTTTTTTTTTTGGTTGGGTGTTTTTGTTCTTGATGCCAGAGAGTTCTATTGTGTAAATACAACCATGATAGGCCGACTGTATGTTTTATTAGCAGAAAATCTATTTTCTATATAGCCTGTTGACAGTTCTCAAAAGTCATAATAAATTTTCCGCAAGCCTCTCTTGTGGTTGACGTCCGTTTTAATTCTCGCTCGGAACAATTTCATCAACTTGGTACGTGTCTGACCAAAGAGGTCTTTGTTGGATGGCTCACCTAAAAAAAAAAAAAAAAACATTTCCTGTTTAAAGTAGCTGATTCTGATTTGGGCAAATTCATTGGAATAAATTTGGAATTCACCCAAAATGTCTGCTTCAAAGCAAAATGGGCGACTTCCTTCCTGGTCTTTGTTACCGGTTTCTGATTGCGGCAAATTGAGGGTCTGTTAAAGTACAAGGTCTTGTTTTTTTTTTTGTTTTTTTTTGTATAAAAATGCAGCTTCAAACCAAAATGGCCAACTTTATTTTCAAATTCAGTCGTGGATGCTTGAGACTTTTTTTTTTGTGCCATGTTCATTTTAGGTGGCTCGCCGAAACGGATCTGTCAAGTTTACCTGCTTTCAAGTGCGGCTCATTTTGCCGATTTCCCGCGTGACTTTCAAAGTAAAATGGCAAACCATGTTCAATTTCGGCCAAGGGTCCTTGAGACTTTTTCATGTGTTCAACTTGAGTTCTTGCGTTACCAAATCTGAAAAACGCCTATCGACATGCGCACGGTCCGTACCACCGGTTGAGTTAACATAATTTCCAGCAATCTCCGATTTCTTAGTTGATCACAAGCACCGGTACTTGACACGTTCAAATTCGAGTGAGTTTTGTTGGGGGGGGGGGGGGGGGGCGGCGGCACACAAACATTCTCACCAGGATGTGCGCACACCGACAAAAATTGGCAAGTTATGGGGCCATGTTTCGACCCACGAGCAAGCGGAAGAATCATCTTAAAAAGCATTTTGCCACAGTGCCTTGACACCGCCTTGTCCTCGGGGCCCTAATAATAAGTGACATGTTCCTCCCGTCCCCCCCTCCCGCTCTACCAGTGAGCGTTTGCGCCCGGCAGGAGGGCCGTGCCGCGCCGGGCCCGTCGCAGCCCCGGCATAGAAGCGCTGCAGCTGTTTCCAAATCCGAGCCTTGATTTTGATCCTCTTCCTCTTTTCCCCAAGGACACTAATGACCCGGTGGTTCATTGTGGCCGGCTAATAACCTTCTTGTTCCAGGCTCATTCCCAGAGCCTCAATGAGTGCAGCCGCTATTGTCGTCGTCATAATTAATTCATTGTTTGCTTGTCTGCTACATCGTCTTGGAGCTAATGGGATGATTAGGGCCATGCTAAAAAGAAAGAAATTGCATATTTAGGAGAAAAGAGCTTTATTTTTTTAATGTTACAAATCATTAACATGGAGATGTTGACTCGATAAATGTGTAAAATCTGTAATGATTTGAAGATAAAACTTTTAGATATGCAATGCTGTAATATTTGTTGTTACGGTCAATGTGGCGCATGCAATGCGACTTTCTTCTGGTTTAATTATGTCGCCTTTTCCACATTCAAGGTCATGTTTCCTCACGTTTCTACTTCACTCTCATCAGTAATAGTCACCGGCAGTTCGATGGAAAAGTCCATTGCATGAGAAGGGGAGGGAGGAGAGCACTTGAAACGATTGTGACAGATTAAGGATTTGTGAAGCTTTGTTGACACGTTGGCCATTCTGACGATTTCACGTGTCCATCTGTGCAACGCCCCCCCCCCCTTTACTAGAACCCCCCCACCCCCTCGATATGAAGGCAGACAGGTGTGGTGTGACAAGTTGAAGAATAGTCGGTCTGGAGGGGGGCCCACCTCTGCTCTCACCTTTGCGTCGGATTAGCCGATTTTGACCGCGGTGCGCACACTGAGACGCTTAATCTCATTTTAATGACTCCTCTCTTGTCAAGTATACGTGTGCGCGTGCCGGTGTGCGTTTTCTCTTTTGCAGGTCTGACTGGTCAAGTGCTTCACTTTAGATTTTTATTTATTTTTTTTTTTCACCAGTCCCTTCATTCGGTGCACATTTACTACTATGGGAGACAGGTCTGGACTGATGGCAGGCCAGTCTAGTACCCACACTCTTTTGGTACAAAGCCACACTGTTGTAACACGTGCAGAATGTGGTTTGGCATTGTCTCGCTCAAATAAGCGGTGGCGTCCATGAAAAAAGACGTTGCTTGTATTGGTAGCATATGTTTTCTCCAAAACATTTCAGCATT